GGTTACGAACCGCAGAGCAGCGTCGATGTACAACCGCCTCCTCCATGGAGGAGCAACCGTGTGCATCAACAGGTACAACCACACATCATGCGCGCACGCATCACATACTGAATCGTCATCACAGCAGTTGCTGTACGTCTCTCTTCGCTCGTACTCCTTCTCTGTCTCTCTGTCTTGTGCTCGAATTCACCACGCTGACTCTCCACAAACTGCTGCTGGGGCACGGGACAACTGCATACTACCATAAGCGCCCAGCGTGGGTCGAGGTTGAGCTTACGACCGGCAAGGGGAGGGAGAGCACTGTCAAAATACAGCCCTTCGAGGACAAAATGGTATGGGTGCCCTACTGCAGAGGGGTAGCGGTCAGCGGCACGTACATCGTTAAGCAGTGGCCTTTCATGGTCGCTGCTTGCATGACCGTACACAGAGTGCAAGGGGTAGGGTTCGAAAGGGTGGCCGTGTGGATTCCCTCTAGAGGGTTCTTCGCCCAGGGTCAGGGGTATACCGCCGTGTCCAGGGGGAAAACTCTAGACGGCCTGTTCCTCGTGTTACCAGACGATGTCTTGCAGGACAGAGAGTTAGCAAGAGAGTTCCTCAAGGAGGCGTTCCAACCGCCCATCGATGCCATCAACGCTCTAGCCGACATGCGACAAAAGGCACCGGCCACTGTTACGGTTAACGTGAGGGGTAGGGGAGTTGCGTACGCTACGCTGTGGGACGAAAGACGGTCATACTACGCCCCAGACGGGTGGGCGGGTGTGTGGCCTGGAGTTCTGTACAACGGTTTAGGTGGGGCAACACGTGTCGAGGGGGAGTATGCACTTGCTGAACGGTCGAACAATTATTCACCATGTGCAATAGAAGGAGAGGAGAGGCACACCGGTGTGCGACGAAGCACATAATAAGGAACTCCTCGAAAGGGGGAACATGACGCTGCTGCGGACAAACTGCCTTTGAGTACATGCGAGCAACACGGCACTCCTGTGACGCACACTGCACGACGCTCGGAACCCCGTTAAGTGCCTTCGAGCGAAGCGAGTCACACAACACTGTGACCGCACACTGCACCGCGCCCGAAACCTCGCCAATTGCCTTCGAGCGAAGCGAGTCACACGGCACTGTAACCGCACACTGCACCGCGTCCGGAACCCCGTGAAGTGTGTCTGCGAGCGAAGCGAGTTACGATGCCACTTTGTCTTACTCCAAAACCATTACACGAACAACAACACACCAAACCAGGCTATGAATTTTCATCGCTGTCTTTTCTTTTTAATTATGCATGGAAGTTGAAGATAAGCTGGTCATATGTGGCAACAACGAAATGTGGGGTGTCTTTTTTGCACGCACAGCTATGGTGTCGGTTAGGGCTAAGGCCACACCACAGCAACGGGATACAGAGGAACTGATGGGGAACCCTACGCTGCTGCGCGCTATCGCGCAGCGTTTGGAGCTCCAAGCTAGCAATCGCTTGCCGCTTTTGACGCCCAGAAAAAGGCTAGGCGACCCTTCATTTTTCCTTTCCACATCGAAGATCTTATCAACAGGCGAATCTTGCGAAGGAGGTTGATGCCGAGCACGCACGATCACTGACATCCCACCGGAAAAAAATAATAGCATCACGTCGCTCTTGCGTCTTGTCCTTGTAGCCGAGCTTGAATGAGGCGGTGACATTCGTGAAAAGCCTGAGAGAGAAACGTTGGCCTGCCGACAGCTCAGAGTGGTCGCTCTGTTCCCCTACTCCATCGCCGTCAAGCATCTTAGATCTCAGATCGTCTGTCCTCCTGTTGCCGTTCGCTGATATGTAACGTGCGCTGGTGCGCTCTCCCTTCGCCCGTAGTTGGTTGCCTTCTAGCTATTTTGATCTTTCAACGTCTCCCCCCCTTTTGCCCTCTTCGCTGCTAACCTAACCTGCTCCCCCACCAAAAAAAGGTGGTGATGAGCCAAGGTGGAACGATCGAGTATTTCCAGACGGCAGTGTTCAACTTCCCCACCCTGGCTGAGGCGTACAACGTCGCCGCCGCCGACGGCCTGCGAAAGGTAGACCACGAGCTCGGCGAGTACTAAACGCTGCTGCTGTTGCTGTTGCTGCTGTGCTGTTGAGGCAGTTGCCCAACGACAGGACAGGCGAGCTTTAGTCAAGCGAGGGTCCCTGCTGCCCACATGGGGCAGTTGCCTGGCCAATCAACCACGGAGCCTCGGGAGTTGCATGAAAGTGGGCGTTGGTGGCGTGCCCTCCTAGTTAAGAGGCATTTTGCCCATGGGCGTCGGTTTTGAACCAGTTTTTTATGACCAACTTTTGCTGATCTCTGCTGCGGTGTAGTGGTGGGCTTTTTGCCGCCGCCTAGGCCTACGCGGTACGGTATTCGCCCGCGCTCTATACGTGTAACGTTCGGGGCGGAGGAATGTGTATCCTATTGGTTCATTCGGTTCAAGTTTTGTTGAGTCATTTTGTACGGTATGTGCGTTCCGGGGTGTTGGAGGGAGGAGCGTCGAAATCATGTGTGGGGCGTTACCCCTGCACGGGCACTGGTGGAAATCGCCTCCATAAAGGTTCGTCGGAGAGAAATCCCCACCACCCCCCCGGCAGCTCTGCGAGCATCACGGTGCTCTGTCAAGCAACAGGGTCATTCGTCATGCCCCCTTTCGTCACACTTTCAGACTGCTACTGTAGGAATTTTACTACGTGCTATGTTTGTCAACGGTGGTACAGACGTTCTCTACGGGTTTGCTACGCTGCGGGTTTGCTTACCCCGCCGTAAAAAAAGGCGCAAGTCGCCCGAGTTTTGTTGCCTTCGCTATGTTGTGGTCGTCGAGTTGGGTGTCTAGGGGGCGTTTTCGGTCGTGTGGGGAACGGTGCACCGATCCCCCCCCCCCCCC